GTGGGAATTAGCAAAGTGAAGAAATGGAAAATATGTTTCCAACAGAGGAAGACAACCCTTGTGAGACAGCATGGATTAGTGAAATGGAAACGGATGGCTTGGGAAACTGAAGGAGGAAGACGGTTTGTGAAGAGCCTTGTATGCCAAACTAAGGAAAATTACCTTCTCCAATTAAATAGTCAGGCTCTATCAAAAGGCTATATGTAATGAAGGGACATGGTAAGATTTTGCGGGGAGAAACTTAAGCCAAAATTTCCTAAATTAACCAACTATCCTGAAGTACTCACATCATCTCAGGTCTCATTTGAAGAACACATTGGCTTGTGTTAGTTTTTCAGTGACCAATAACTTGTCACTATCTGGTTCAGGTCCTTTAAGCTGATGAGAGTCAATGGAAAGCCAGTTTTCTTCACGTGAGAAGACATGAATCATTTAATTCCTTCTCCTTTTTCTAGCTGTAAACTCTTCAGCTACTTTTCTCACTTTTTCATCTGAAGTATTCCAGGTTTGTTATGCATGACCAAAGTTTTGCATCAAGCTAAGTTAATTAATGTTCCCACACTGTACTGAAATAGTTTGGGTATATAAATAAATACATTTTTCTCTTTTGGTTATTCTTTTTTCCTTTTTTGTTTGCTTGTCATTTATACTGAAAATAGCCCATGTACCTTCTTTCACATTTCTATCCTCTGAGCCTCCGATTAAAAAGACTTCTGCAATCCCCGCCTCATCTCAGCATCCTCATTGTGAAGCGTCTTGTGTCTTTTAGAAAAGTTTTATTTTTGTATCTCTTGGACTACTTGATTACACCCAGCACCTCACTGAGGAAGTCAAAAGATAACCTTATTTTTCACAGATGGTCAAACTGACACATAGGAAGAAGAAATATCATGCCCAAGATTAACCAGTAGGACACTGCTTGAACCCAGGCTCTTGTTTGTTTGTTTTAAGGATAAGAACTCAACCTTAGTGCTAACTCCAGCCTTTGCCTATACTTTAAGGTGAATTTGGCCCCTTTTGCCGAGACCTGGCCTGCCAAGCTTTCCAGTAGGGGCAGCAGTTCCTATCAACCACAAATAGTGCCCTTTGTGTGTGCCTTAGAAATACAGGGAAATGGTATTGCCTACTGATGCTTCAGGCAGATAGAAACTGAAAATTAAGTCAATAAAAGGCTGTGTCAGCTATGTCTAACCACTTACAGAAAGCCCCTCTGTCTTGGGTTCTTCAGCTGAGCTCATTGCTTTCAAAAGAAAAAGAAGCTTTTTCACATAAGAAAACACACCTGAGGAAGATAGACTTTGTTAATCATGCCTGGTCCCCCTACATCTAGTGGACAGAACAGCTTTCTAAATGTGTCACCACATGTGCAATGATAATCTGAAGTGAGGAATTGCCTTTTGCTATGAGAAAATGAGATGAGATTTAGCAATCGGATTGCCCAGTGCAGGCCCACTATGAGACAGTCCTTATTGGTATCTTGTCTCCTTTGACTCCTTCAAATCATAATTTAAAGAAAGTTTTCAGTGGATGCAGAATGCACACTATATTTGCACAGGAGTGTGTACGTCAGGGATACTGAAGTTTAATCACTCAATCACCAACTGGTTTTTGAAAGTCTGTTAGATTTTCAAATGTGTGTGTGTGTGTGTGTGTGTGTATAGTCTACACAATATTGCTCTTAATAGAATATATTATCACTTCAAAGCCACCTAACTACAATATGAAAGCCAGAGTGCCAGGGTGATCATTTGACCTTGGGATTGACTTCAAATTCTTTACTACACCCTGCTCTGCACCTGGCATAAAGCATTCAAGGGGCACCAAGCACACTGATGTAATGGAAACGAGGCCAGTTTTGTTTTATTGTTGCCGTCTTTGTTTTTCCTGGCTGCACATTTGTATTCCATTCCTTACCCTGTTCTGTTCAGTGCTTGGGGCAGAGGGAGTAGAGAGGGATAGAGAATTCCCCAGACAAAGACTGGCAGATGGAGCCGAAGGGCTCCTGGGACACTGGTAGCAAGAGAAGCTGAATAGCAGAGTCCAAGGATGTTGTTTTTAAAAGGGATGCACAATAGCTTTGTCAGCAGAATCTAGAAAAAGCAGACATACATATTGTTATTCTCTCCCTCTCTCTCTCTCTCCCCGCTCGTGTCTCTCTTCTTAACTGTTCCACCTGTCTATCTATCTATCCATCATCTATCTGCCTATCTAGTCACTTGTGCACCTGTTTTTCTACCTATATCTGTCTCCCTCCATTCTCGGGTTCTGCTGAATCCAAGCAGACAGATTTGCTGCAGTCTTAAACACAATCAAGAGGAAATTAGCCTTCATGAGAATTCATCTCTAGTTCTTTTTTCTTGTGTGTGTGTGTGGGGGACCACTCTGAGAGGTACCTTTGCTGAAGAAATGAATTAAGAGATGGTAGAGAATAGATTTTATATAATCTTACTATAATCTCACCCTATTTGTCTTTTATTGGAGGAGGGGGAAAGTGGCAACTTCATGATCTTATCCTTCATGATGCAGCATTGAGGGAATCACATAAGTGCGAAAAGGATCTGTTCTACTAGGTATGAAAACCAGGCTCAGACTTCTACCTCTTGTTCCAGCTTCCTCTGCTTGCCGTGGAGGGAGAGACTGTGACTCTTCTGACTCTCAGTTTTCCAGTAGATCAAATGGGTAAAGGGACTGACCTTGCCGGTGCCATTTCACATAATCACCCTGACAACATTGAGTAAATATTACTGCCTCTATGTTTTGTAGGTAAGGAAAGTGAAGTTCAGAGTGATTAGGATATTTTAGTTCGGTCCTACACAGTTTATGTGTGGTAGAGATGGAGACGGACCTTACCTTTGCCATATGTCAAAATCCTTACTTTTTGTAGTACCCTCTATTGGGTTTTAGGGAGCGGAGTTTAGATTTAGGGCTGATCACTCTTGGAGTGGATCTGGGTTGTATTATATCTAGGTTGGCCGCAGTCATCGAGAGGTGGGAGATGCTGAGAAGCTCTGAGCCTGTGTTCTTTCTCTGCCTGAATTGCTCTGCATGCTACTGATCACTGCAGTCCTCAGCTGGCTCAAACCTATCTTTAAATAATTGAATTATAATGGATTGATTTATTCTGGCTCTTTTGATAGTATTTCACTATGTAAACTGTTTGCAGAAATAAACAAGGGATTTTAGAGCTTGGAAGGGGCTCAACATTTTGCTGTCCCTGAATTCAATAATTCCTTTTTCAAATAGTCAGCATCCTAGAAATTCAAGTCTTTTTCTCCTTGACCTGGGATCTTTCTAGGGGAAGAGCATTGCTTGACAATATTTCAAGTGAGTACTGATTTCACAACTTGATTTGATTCAATTACTTAGGACTACATCAACCCTGTACAAAAGGGTATTTTTTATTTTGACAATTAGTTTAGAATGTACAAAGCACATTTATGTTCATTTTGGATGAGAGCTCTGGGATTATCCTGAGAGGCCGTCCTGGCTGGGACTGTCAGGTCCATGTTACTTCTGGAGATCTAGAGGCTGAGAAACAGAGTTAGTTTTGCAAGTTACAGAGCCAGTATAAAGAACAGAAATCAAACCAAGTCTTTGGCCTTACAATCAGTACCCTCTCCAGAGCCCTACTGTATTATTTTGAAGTAAATTTGGGAAGGATAACCTAGATCAAGCAGTATCTATGCAGTGATTTAGCTGAGATATTATTTTCCCAGGTTATATAACCATTACCTGGATATAATTTTTTATATCACTGCCATCACTTTCAAAGAGTGTTCCAGTTTAGATGATAAATTATATGGTAAGCCTAGGATACTGGATAGGGACTACTTTTGAAGGAATTCTGAATCCCTCATGGGAGCTGCAGCAGGTAGATCTAGTGATAGTACCATGTGTTAACTGTTAGAGATCTTAGTAATATAGGCACATGCCTACAGTAGTGAGTAGTTAGCTGTGCTTAGAAAAAAATGAGAAAAGAGCACAGAAGAGTTAGCATTAGCTTTAAACCAAACATAAACTATTGATGGAGTTTGAAATGCATAATCGGTTCAAAATTTACTTGGTATTTAGGTGAAACTCCTTAGGTATCTAAGTCCTTAGAGCATTAGACAGGGACAGCAGCATGAGACCGGTTCTTACTCTCATCTCTTTCTCTGCTCTGACAACTGGTTCAGAGGTGGAAAGAGACCCGCCTAACACAGCAGACCAGTGGAGTTCAGAACTGGTACTGAGCCAATTCATTCTTCATGCAAAACTGGCTGGAGTTATATGAACCTAAGTTTGCAGCTATGATATTCTGTGGTATCAATAATATACTCCCAACTGGAAAGTAAAGGCCTGAGTTCTGCTCCCACATGTGACAAGAACACACTGTGTGACCTTGTTGAAGTTATTACAACTGTGTGGCATCTCAACAGGAGATTAAAATAGTAATTAAAATCATAATAATAATAATAATAACAATAACAATAATACCTTCCTGTTGAGATGGCTGTGAGGCTCACTTGGTAATGAAGGTGGATATGAACTTTTGTGCATGTATGCGGCAAAATGCATTCTTATCGTATTTTAAATTTATACTATAATGTTGTTAATTATAAGCATAATGTTGTGCTGCCATTATCTAGAGCTTTTTTATTGTACATAATTAAACCTATTGAACAGCTAGTGCTCATTTCTCATCCCTTTAGACTCTGGCAACTTTCATTTTACTTTCTTTATCTATGAGTTTCACAATCTTAGATACCTCACCTAAGCGGAACCATACAGGGTTTGTTCTTCTGTAACTGGCTTATTTCAGTTTGTACGATGTCTTCCAGTTCATCCATGTCATTCTCCCTCTTTTTTAAAGCTAAAGCATATTCCACTGTGACTGACAAATATGGGCTTGACAAGGCTGGTGGATTTGGTGATCAAATCTCACAGCTGCTAATGATGCCAAAGGCCAAAGAACAAATATTCATCAACTATCTCCCCCTCTCTCTGTCCCTCTCTTGTAGATGAACCCAGCCGGTGCTATTTCCATGATGGAGATGGGGTATGTGAAGAGTTTGAACAAAAGACTAGCATTAAAGATTGTGGTGTCTATACACCTCAAGGATTCCTGGATCAGTGGGCATCCAATGCTTCTGTGTCTCATCAAGACCAGCAGTGCCCAGGCTGGGTCATCATTGGGCAGCCAGCAGCATCCCAGGTAAGACCCAAGCTTTGTGCAGCACTTCTTGCTGATGTCCTGAATCTTCTCTGTACCCCTCAAGTTCCTCACCTCACATGCAGTGCCATTGAATGGAGCCACTTGAACACACCTCTAGCCAAATGCAGTGTCGGCATTTATAAAGGGTTACGCAGGCAATGGCCAAGTGGCGGGATTGTTACTATCACAAGGGTAATATCTGTCTTCACACTTCCCTGTCTATTGTAATTCATATGTAGGAAAGAATTCCATTTTGGATATATCGCTTCACTTGGGAAAGTCTGGCTTGTTTGAGGGCGTGGTGAATTAGTGGTAATTGTACCCTGAATTTGCTGTATGGTTTTGGAACAGTCTTCCTACCTCTTTGGGCCCCATTTTCCTATCTTTAAAATAGTGACTAGTTGAGTGTGATGATCTCCAAGGGCTTTCAATTCTAAGAAGCTGTGAGTCATTCCTCAGTCCCCTAATGCACTATTTATGTGTCATGTTCTCTCCCAGGAGACTGAAAACTTAGTTGAGGCAGTGAGAGTTTTGGGACCACTAGAGCTTGCGTGATTCTAGGCATGGCTGTGCTGTCCCCAGAGCCACCTTTCCAATTATCCTGCTGAGCAAGCACCTGTCTTCTTCTGAGACCGCCATTTCCCAGACTCATGACCCAGTGCTTCTGACTGCCCAGCCCAATGGCCATTTCTAAGGCCAGCCTTCCTGCCTGCCTTGCAGAGGATCCACGGATCTTCTCTTAATATTACTCCTTCCATTCAGGTGCAGTGGAGTAGACCTGGTTTCTAGATGAAAGAGAAATAAAATTGTCTGCTGGGGCTCAGTGGAAAGAATCACTGGGTAAGGCATAGGAAAGGGCCACCTCATATATTAGACTTCTCATGAATTTCATCAGAGCTTGATTGGCATTTATTTCTGAACTCTTTCCAGAATATGGAAAGACATGGAAACATGGTGTTTCCTGGTGCTTCTCATGTTTATCACCATCTTAATGAATGAATGAAGAATTACATGAAGAAGTGATCAGAATTCATCTTGTTTCCCTACCACCCTTCTCCTTTGTGAACTCATCTGCATGCTTGGACCCATTACCAGTCACATTGAACTCTAACCATTTGTTTGTCCACCCAGGTCCCCCATTAGATCATCAGGTTTTTGAGAATATATTCAAGCTTCATTCTTCTTTTTCCCTTCATCTTTGAGGACAGGATCTAGATAAGACCAGATACTTAGGAAATGTCAATTTCCTGAACTGAAGATACACATGCATACTACACCCCCTACGTATATTACTACATGTGCAGGCATTGCCCCTCTATTACATAAAATATACAAAAATTCCAAATTCAACATTAACACCCAGTGATGTTTAAAAAGCATCGCTCAAACTAGAGTATTAGGAACCCACTCAGAACCCCACATGAATGAAAGCTGGGGGAGTAACTGTGCTTAAAAATCATCCAAAGTTTATTGCTACTATTGTGAGCAAAAAAAGAGAGAAAATTTTCCAGTCTTTGCATTTGAAAAGAGGCCTCATGGAGCAGTTATTCCAATCTTGTAAGGAGAGGGCTGTCAGGAATTATGGGCGATTATCTCTTCCTAAACAAAAATCCAATTTTAAAAAATCATTATAAATACTAGCTCTTCGATCTACAAAGAGGAGAGGAGGAAACAAAATCATCCTATTGAATTATTCATTGTAACCAATTTTATTTTAATGAAATCGACTAGGTTCCATTACTCTGGGCTTGGACATAATCTTTGTTACAAGGAGACTTCAGCTGTAACTAAATTTACCATAATGAGATCAGCTCACTGGAGAATACAGGTCAGGGGAGGGGATATGTGTGCAGCCTAGGTGCAGGGGTGAGGGGTGGGCAGAGGGCAGCCTGGAGGGCACAAGAACAAAAGTCTCCTGAGCTCCTCATAGGAAAACAGTTGTCTAGAATTTATTTCCTTACCCCACCCCTACCGTCATGCACATGCATTCACATGTATGCATGCATTAGCTATATACATGTACAAGCACATGCATACACACTCACACGCATCACAGACACATGCACATGCATGCAGATACTCAGTCAAACATTTACACACACATCATGCAGTCTGTAGAGTTCAAGGTAAAGGCCATATTTGAAGTAAAAATCCAGCTCCAGTGAGGAAAAATGAAGCATTACTCCGGTCTTCATGACCTGTAAAGTGACTAGAGGAGGCTGGTAGTTAGTTGTCATCCTTCAGGGTGACAGTGTTGGTGGTATGAGAGGAGGGCCCTCAGGAGCTCCTCAGAATTTGGTTGAAGAATAAAATGGAGTGCTTGCCTTCTTTTTTTTTGTTGGTACTGGGAGTCAAACTCAGGACCTCACGCTTGCTAGGCAGGCACTGTGCTACTGAGCTATATTCCCCCATAAGAATAAAATGGAAATATGCACCATGTGTCCCATGCCTTCCTCCAATAAAATTCTCTCTTTCCCTCTCTCTTTCTGTCTGTCTCTTCTCTTTCTTTCTCTCTTCACACACACACATACACACACACACACACACACACATTCATACATGAGTGAGCCCCAGAGGATGTCAACTCTAGAGAGTGACCCAAGCAGGTAAAAGAGAACAGCAGAAGGACCTAAAGTTATCAAGGCCCACCAGCCACCTTCACACACCTTACAACCAAGATAAGAACTGTTATCTGCCTTGGAGAAGCAGAGAAGCACCATGGTTCTGCTGTAGGCCAAAGAATGGAGAATCTAAAATTAGAAGATCTCCTGGAACATGGGGCAGTATGCTTATCCAAAAGCTGGAAGCAGCTTCGTATCCGGGACGCTTCATGGGGAAACGAGAAGAGAGTCCTACACGGACAGATAGTGCTGGGTGTCACTGTGTGGCCCACCTGAGGTGCTTCCTTCTTCCGGGGGCGGAATCATAGTCACTGCTGGCACCTTCCGTCCTGCTCTGTTCCCACTCCCTGCCACACTGACTGTGTTCCATGGTCCCTTTGTTTCATTGGGACACTTCTCTAATTTTGGGAATGATGAAATGACCACAGTGGCTCCCATTTCTTCTTTATTTTCTAATTTATCCCACCCTCTTTCTCTTATTTTAAAAACGAGTTTGCAGCTAGCTTTGTGCTGGATCCTATGAAAGAAACCAAAGTAATATAAAACCCAGTCTAGTCACTATGCAAGGTATAGGCACGACAATTCTGTCTAGAAGTGCAGTCTTTTTACAATAAGTTTTCATTCTCCCTGACTACTGGGAATAAGCCACTCTTTGTGCCATAGAAGCCCAGAATGCAGATTAAAACTTCTTTTTTGATTTTATAGAAGCCCACCACCTCTCATGATTTCTAGTCCCTCTCCTCCATGCTTCTTAAACAAGTTTCCCAAATTTGGTTAGAGTAAAGCTAACCCTGAACACTGAGTCTCATATACAAACACTATCAGGAATATCAAAACTTTCTGGTTTTGCAAATTGGACTGAACGTCTTATAATAAGAGACATTCTTTGGATATTTTGGCCATTTACCTTCCTGGCCCAGCTGGAATCAAGAAGTTCCTGAGACAGAACAAAAATGGAAATAAACTGAAACAGTCAAGTTATCTATTTTCTGGAACCCTTACACATGGTTTAAGTGCTTGCAAAGATCTTGTCTTGTTCTTGTTTTGTTTCCATATTTTGCATTTCTCTAATGTTTTACACCAAAGCCTGCCAAAATGGCATGTAGCTCTCTCTCCTCCTTCTCTCACCCCTAAATTTCTACCAGAGTACATTTTCTCCTCTTCAGACTGGCACCTCCCTCTTTTGCAATGACCTGAGAAAGAGATAGAAGTACTGAAAGTATCCAGAATGTACGGCACCCTTTTAGGGTTTACAGACCTTCAGTCAACTAGCCAATGTATGGTTAATCCTTTGAAGGTAAAACTTGGACCAACCACTGCCAGGGCAGTAATTTGAAGGTCAAAGTAAAGAAAGCCTTTCTAAGACTGGGCTATGCCCACAATGAAATGGAGCAGTGAGCTCGTCAGCATTATTCAGGCTGTGCTGCTGATCCTACAGAGGATTCCAACTTTAGAAGGCAGCTGAGCCCCTGAACACTGCCTCTTTCTTTGAAATGGATTCTCTGACTTTATACTTCTTTAACACACTGTTGGGTGGATCAGTCCTTCACCACTTTTCTTTGAGTTGCTATTATCTATTCCTTGAAGTGGTTATAATTCTTTGTGTCTCTATTAAAATATAAAACCATAACTTGTTTTCTGTTATAATAACCTATATATTAATTAATCCATTCATGCAATTAAATGCAATTATACCTCAGCTGTGTATTGAGGAAGATGAGCGAGGGGGAATGGGTAATACAATGAGATGAAGTGAAAATTAGGCAGATATGGCTTTTCCCTCTTATTCCTACTCTTTTGGGGGGAGCACTGAGTTATCAACCCCTTTGGGGCTGTTTGCGCCCCCCTTTGGAAAATGGGAATGATAATATCTCCCTAGCGGACATTAAGGATGTGAAAAAACCACTTAGTCCTGTTTTTTTTTTTTTTTTTTTTTTTAATTTTTTTGGTATTATAATGACATTTCTATGTCTCATTCATTTTAGACTCCTCTGTCATCTTCACTCCAGAGAGACCCACAGTGAGCAACACAGTAGAGAATCTCTGTCAACATTCTGTTGAGTTAAGCACAGTTTCATTAACAAATACTTGCTACATATTCAGACCTGTATCAGACACTTTGGGAACCTTAAGAAAGTTCTTTTCCCTTTGCTGCCCTCAAATAGCTTTCTATTTCTTTAGAGGGATGCATCCAACTAAAACAGTAGCCAAAGACCCAGAAGTGTGTGGGATCCAGAGGGAGTTTCCCTGAGGAGGAAGCCATGCAGCTATCATCCCAGCTTACTCAACCAACAGGGATGAGAGCCAGGGTGTTGGATGGAAAAAAATCTTTTGCCCACTTTCAGAAGGTCCCGGACAAATTGTAAAAATAACATTTAC